CAAGGCAAACATCGGCCGATACCTATTTTCCTTGATGCATTGGTGCATCCCTAGTTTACAACTTATTTTGTGCATGTGAAGGACTATGGACAATGGGCCTCATTCACGAATAACTTCGTAAGAAACTACTCAACTTTCTTCTCAAGTTGTCCTTAAGTAGATTTCTAAGAAGTCCCCACGTGGGATTCATCAACGCACTCGTAAACCGCTGAATTGTTCGCAGCTGTTCTCTCAGATTGATGAATCCCATTTCCTCGTAAGTACAGCGCGCGTGCCAGGTGCTTCATTAGCATAGGTACTTAGCATAAGTAACCGCCCACTAATGCCCATATAAGGGGCTGCAGGGCCGTGTGCAGACGGCTGAGGAAACAGCAACAGGCCTAAAGCAAGGAGCAAAAGAGTCTCCCTTTTTTCTTCTTTTACCAGACTGAGAATAAAGTTATAAAATGTTGACTTAAAAGTCGAAATATTATGATAATAAAGTCGAACTAGAAAAATTATGAGATTAATCTAAGAATATGATGAGATTAATCTCAAAATGTTATGAGCTTAATTTAAAAATATATTATGTATTATTTTAAAGATGAATCTCAAAATGTTTTGAGATTAATCTCAAAATATTTTGGACCCTGGGAGGAGATCCAGCGCGGACCAGCGCTGAGACCAATGCAGACCCGAGGAGAGACTGGAGTGACCAGCACACAGAAACCAGCGCGGACCTATAGGAGAGACCGCATAGACTGAGAGACCTGACTGGAGAGACCGGTGCGCAGAGACCAGCGCGGACCGAAGATAGACCGCATAGACCAGACTTGAGAGACCAGCGCGGACCCGTATGGATCCAGGAGCATGCAGCACGGACCCGTATGGAGAGACCAGTGCAGACCCGTATAGATCCATGGGAGAGACCAGTGCAGACCCGTATAGATCCATAGGAGAGACCAGCGCAGAGACTCAGCGCGGACCCATAACCTCCTGCAGCAGCAGTATATATGCCGTTGTTCTGTGGCCCGTGGATAAAGAAATGCCCCCTATAAATAGGAAGGGGTCACTAATACACGGCAAGATTTCCAATGTATTTGATAAAGCATTGGCACATTTCATTTCAAAATGAATTAAAAAGTAGGCCAGATCTGCAGTGAAAAAGGCGGTATATAAATAAAGATTACTAATAAAGATTCCTACAAATAAATAAATACATACATCGATATGACGGAAATATCACTGGAATGTTGTATTTTTATTCAACTTCAAGAGGACAACCCCGGCGTGTGAACATGTCGGCACTGAATGCGTACGAGTGCTCCTGAGGACTCGTAGGATTTGTACTTGCCCAAGAGAAATTCTGGTTACGAGAAATATTCGTGAATGCCACTTTCTTCGTAAAAACCGCGTAAGTAGGATTTACGTACAAATCTGTTCCTAAGAACCGTTCGTGAATGTGGCCCAATGTTGAGTGTTGTTGTAAATGTCCTATACAAATAAAGTTTACACTATTTTCACATGATTAATCTCCATTTGACCCACATGTAGAGCAGTGTCACACTTTGGTTACGGTGTGCTTGGTGAAGTGATTTCTAATTCTCTTGGGCACTTTCTCTTGAGTTGCCTCCCTTCCTCAGCTGTGATCCCACTCAGTGACCAGGTCACAGTGACATCCTGGCTCTGCTTCAATCAGAGCACGTCCCACAGAGGGATGGTCCTGAGGAATTTTAACTGTTAAAAGTAATTACAAAATGACCACACAAAAAAACCTGGGTACATTACATTTTAAGCAATCAAAAATATTGTTGTAAAGGTAAAATATGAACCATTCAATCCAGAACATTCTTCTTCTTGTAAGAAAGTCACAAGTCAAAAAAATAAATCTTCTCGCTCTGTACTTTTAACTTCTGTCTGATAAAGCTGATCCAAAGACGTGACAGAGGCCAAAATATACATGCATCGGAAAACTAGAGATAGAACCAAGCTGTTTTGCAAGCAAGGCACTATAGTTACATGGATTTTAATAATAATAATAATAATAATGCATACGTTTTTTACAACAGCTGCATGGGGCACACTAACAGAAGCAAGGCAACCAGTATGTGCCATCGGTCACTGTGACTACCACCAACCATTCACGCACACACTACACTCATTATAGGCAATGTAGGCATTATAGGGTGAAGTGTCTCCTTGTGCCTAAGGACGCAATGACAGTTTGGCACCAGGTGTTCCTAGAGGTCTCCCATCACAGTACCAATAAGGCCAATAATGTACCCCAGCTTTAATAACGGCTCTAAATGCATTATCGGCGGGCGAATAGTGTGAAACAGAACTGGAAAAACGCATAACTTCTGGAACACTATGGGTTTAATGCATTCTACATCGCCCATAAACATCTGTGTGTTGCTTTGCAGGAGGAGTGAAGCTGCTGTACCCACACTGCCTTGCTTCGTGGCCATGCTCATCTAGGGCCTAGGAATTATCCATCCATCCATTTTCTTCCGCTTTATCCATTGCCGGGTCGCGGGGGCAGCAGTCTAAGCAGAGACGCCCAGACTTCCCTATCCACACACACTTCCAGCTCGTCCGGGGGGACCCCAAGGCGCTCCCAGGCCAGCTGGGAGACATAGTCCCTCCAGCATGTCCTAGGTCTTTCTCGGGCCTCCTCCCAGTGGGACGTGCCCGGAACACCTCCCCAGGGAGGCGTCCAGGAGGCATCCGGAACAGATGCCCGAGCCACCTCAACTGGTTCCTCTCGACGTGGAGAAGCAGCGGCTCTACTCCGAGCTCCTCCCGTGTGACCGAGCTCCTCACCCTATCTCTAAGGGAGCGCCCAGCCACTCTGCGGAGGAAGCTCATTTCGACCGCTTGTATCCGCGATCTCGTTCTTTCGGTCATTACAATTGTAATGTTAGGAATTAACATCACAAAAAGGTAAGCCTCTCAATAGCCTGTCTTTTTTTTTTTTTTTTCCCTTGGATCAGTCATAACAGGATCAACATTTCTGCCCAACAACAACAACTTAGCAATAGCACCGTTATTGATCAAACCAAAACGGCGTAATTATTCAGACCACAATGTTTATCACTTCTCTGCCGCCATTCATGTTTATAGACATTATATGCACGGCTTGTACCTTGTTTTTATCACTTTTGAATTATTAATTTTTGGTCCCGTTGGCAGAAACACGTGGGATGACTCATGCCATTAAAGACCAGTGAGCAAAAGCAGATGTTCAAATGGTAAACGGAGCATTTGGATAGATGTTTGTTCCCTCGCTGCTATGACATCATTCGGCCTCAGTCTGCAGCTCACTCACTTCAGGGAGGAGAATCATTACTTTGGGCTTGTTGTCTGAGTTGGTAAGATAAATGCCTTGACGTAAACGTGCGTGTGGTTTTTGACCGGGTTTGGCACTTGCGTGAAGCAGGTCTTGAAGAGGTAAAAAAGGGGGAGATAGGGAGAGCCGATGTGTCTGGGCCTGTGTTTGGCTGGCTCCTGGCTGCTCTGCTGTCTTAACCCGTCCTGCACTTAAAGGGGAGCTTCTGTTTGGGTACATTTTCGACGAGTTTTGAGCTTTTAACCAACAGCCCTGGGATTGTTTTTAGATCCACATAACTCCGTCCCCTTCTGTCCTAAAGCTTCACTGTCAGTCCTGCTGTAATAAGTTTAAATTACGTACTTTTAAATCATGTCCCCCCCTTACCCCAACCCCCTGTAGTGGTAGAATGGAAAGAGTATCATCCTTGATACTTGATTTCACATTATATTTTCTATTTCATATATTATTTCACAGCCTAAAACATTAAATGAACATTTCTTTGAAGAAGACATGACATGCTGTAGTGTAGAAGATGATAATATTTGACTCCTCTGGTTCATTACTATATAAACAGTATATTTTAAATCTCAAATTTTTTCTAAAACTATGTTCTAAAAGATAAAAGTTTGAAAACGTTGCCCCTGTCAGGAAAATCTGGTCACCATTCCACCCAGAGCAAGCATCTAAGGAGGGATTTGTTTCAAAATGCAAAGCTTCTATGTATTCTATATATTTTGACTGGGAGCCGTATCACCGTGCTTGTCTCAAGATGTGAAAATGTACTTGGAGCACATTTTGGGTTGATGTGCGCTTTTATAAACAGTCGCTTTGACAAGCCGTGGGCAAGATTCAGCTGCTGCCATCAGCGAAAGAAACAAAAGAATCAAACCCCGCAACCACTTGCACATTTGCCCTTTACTTGTCCTTCCACTTCACAAGGGTCACAGACACTCTGAGACTAACCACTCTATGGCACCACACCCAGGGGAGTGCGTAGTCACAAAATGTTTGGTGTGTTTATCAAGTTTTCAGACGGCCTGGATGTTGGCTCTCATCTGGTTGGTGTATCTCCACAAATAATGCCACTTGATTGATGTATGATACAGTGTAATTCAATAACATGTGCATTTATTTATAAAAAACATGTACTCTACATAAAGGTTCAGCCAATCAAATTCTGTTATGGTGTGAATGAATCTTAACATGAATATTTTCTATAAATTGGTTAAAATATAGGTTGAGTTACCTCCAGAAAATGGGAATATCTTGAGATTCAAAAGTGAGTAAATACTTAGACAATCCTTTCAAGTTCCAAGTGCATTTTTGTTATTGGCCGATATATATAGATATATATCCCAGTTTTTGCAATGGAGAAATGATACAGTCCACATTCGAGGTCTAGAATGACACAGTCCACAACTTCATAATGGACAGACAGCCTGCACTTGTGTCAAATTCCATTAAGGCTGAGTACGGTTTTTTAGTCCTCCTTTCACACAGACACGCAGAATGACAGGGTGCAGCCTTTTTTATGGCCCGTCAACAAAACGCAGCGCATCAAATAACAGTGCGGTGGCTGGAGCATCCCTTTTAGCCCATCACAACTTAAGTGGCTGGAAGAGGAGTTAAAGGCGCCCGCTGGATGTGAGTAATTGTGCGCACCAGGTGGAGTGGTTTCCAAAATGGCCGATTAGAGACACGGGTGAGCGCGCAGATGGATGGATGGGCGGCTGGGATTGTTGCACGACAGCGGGCTATGGCGGTCACCTCTCCAGTGTTCAGCGGGGATCAGTGCAGCCCCATTGAACATGTCACACCCCTCCACCCCCCAACCCTCCCCCCCGGTTGAGTGTGGAGCAGTGGGGAGGAGGATGGAGTGACAGCAGGTGAAGAGGTGTGCACTGAGAGGCAGAGAGGCGACCGCTGCGCCTGAGAGCGGCCGGAGCGGGCAGTGATAAACCAGCACTGAAGGGAGTGACAGGGGGTGTTAAAGGAGGAAAGTTTGGAAGCATTTGTATGATTGTCAAGTAGACTTATATGAATGTATTGGACATTTCAAGTTTATAGTGCACTTAATAATAATAATAATAATACATCGATAGTTCTTTTCAGGACACTCAAAGACGCTTCACATGTCATTATTCTTTCAATGCATACACGGTGATAAACTGCTACTGTAGCTACAGCTGCCCTGGGGCACACTGACAGAACCGAGGCCTTCTATGCAATGTGGGTGAAGTGTCTTGCCTAAGGGCACAACAACAGTTTGGCACCTTACCGCCGCAGCCACTCCACTGTGGCACCTGATGTTTCCAGAGGTCTCCCATCACAGCAATAATGTTAAGTAGATTTTTTGTTTATTTTTACGCATGCCTCATACGATTTTTACTTTCAGAGTCAAAGTAATTTCCCAGTTTGTGACTTCCTGTTGCTCACAATGGCAATAAAAATAATCTGATTCTGATTTATAGCCAAGGCTAATTTGTAGTCTCCGTCTCATTACCACAATTTACCACACTCTTGTTGTACAGAAGCAGGTGACTCTCAAGTCAGAGAGGGTCACATAACTGGCTTGTCTATAAAACACTAGAACTCCCAGAGCAGTCAATTTGAGGGCTTTTTTTTTTTAAGTGTAAATACTCAGCGCATATACATTTGTGGTCTTCATAACTTTGTGACTTGTTCTGTCTCCATATGTAATTTATTTCTGTCATTATTTTTGTGAAACTATATTTTACTTTTGAAATTTAAGTAGTTTCAACAAGGTTTCACCAAGGCTTTCCACCAGAACAGAGCGAGTGCTAGCTATTATAGCAACACAGATAGTATTTAGTCATTTTTCATCAAACTGATTTCCCTGTTTCAGTTATCTTCACCAGTCTTTTGCACGTCGTAAGACTGCAGCGTGCAGTCAGGGGAGGCAGAGTCTCACCTGCCATCATTGAGAAAAATAATTATTTTACTTTTAATATATCATTGTTTTCCACTGTCCTATGATTTTAATGTATTTTAGGAACGGTTCTGACCAGTTTTGATCCATTCTGAAGTCAAAATCGCTGAAATCCTGTTATTCCTATTCAAAGAGACGAGGTGAGGCAGCGCTGCTACATGCCTCACCCCAGAACGCTCCCTCACAGTGGTCTGTGCGAGTGCTCTCAGCTCGTGCTGTTGATATATCGCTGTTTGTTTCAAATATCCTGCTTTGATAACATTTGTTAAACTTCTCATAGTTTTTAGTAATGTATTGCACGCATGTATGTACTATTTACATTTAGTTTAAGTGTTTTGACCTGAGAAGAATACACAAGAAAAAAGCCTGCCTTGAGGCAGGCAGTATCTGTGCCTCACCGATAGGGGGCGATACTTAGCATGAAGTTCATACCAGAGTTTCGAACAATCAATCGATCCTATCGGTGCTATTTCTTTTGCTGGAAAAAGAATGATTTGGCTGAAGATTTTTTCTATCAACTGGAATTTCAATAAAAGCAAGAAATAATATAGACTGAGAGACTGCCACTGGACTAGGTTAGTCCGGCCGCGGTCTCTGTGTTTTATGTTGGAAATTTACCAGAAAGCTGCATTATAGTGCTTCCCCGAAAAAAACACCAATTCAAACACTGCTCAAGAGTTCTGCAACTTGTTTAAATTCTTGTTCATGTTCCTCGCGTCTCTCCTTTTCTCTTCCTCCTCGCGTCTCGGAGAGAGAGAATCGAGAGAGACGCAACTCTTCCCGACTCTCTCCCTCCTCCCGTCTCACACTCCTCGCGTCTCTCGCACCTGTGCTTCTTAAAGATGTTGTTTGATGCGGAGCAGTCAGCAGCTAGATGTGTGGTGAGATCATTAAAAGACGCTGGTTCTCTTAACTTTACAGTATATGAAGTTATGTGCGATTTAATGCTATATTATTAGAACAATGATGGTAAATCTGACTTTTAAAGTCAGTGCCTCCCCAATCACAAACCTCACCGCATGTCACTGGTTGTAAGTGTAAACACTTTGAAAGCTAACTCAGTTTTTTGGCAAATTTCAAACTACTAGGACCCTGGGACTCCTAGTAGTTTCATCATTCTGGGAGTTCTAGTGTTAAAATCGCTTACGTTCGTGTCTGAAAATGTGACACCCAAGTAAAGAATTAAAAAAAAACAAATATTTTCCTGTACAAATGATGACACTTCAGAAGAATTATTATGCATTAATTTTGGCCATAACAAATGCCAATTAATTATTTACTCTAGGATGTCATGTTTTAGAATGTTAAACAATATCCTAAGTCGAAAGGGAAGGCAAGTGTATTTGCATTGCACAATTTATGCACAAGGCCACACAAAGTTCTGAAAATGTATGAAGAAACAAGTATGAGGGAGTAATAATAATGTCTACGCTACCACTAGAGGGATGAGTTGCCTAATTCCAAATTTGATAATTACCAGCTGCAAACCCAGACATGTGATTGTACAGAACATGAGAGATGACTTGAGAAATTGATTAATTTATGAGCAACACTTTTGTCTAAACAGAAGGGGCGGAGTTACATGTTTGTGCCAGAAGTTCCTGATAATAGCGTGGATGGATCTAAAAAAACAACTCCAGGTCTGTTTTATGGACCAATGTTGTAACTTGAAACAATGTTAATAGCTTCTTTGAGTCTGTTTTTCACTAAATCGGTTGCGTGTGCAGTAACTGTCCCCACTTGTCCACAACCCCCAGAACCCCTCTCCTTGTGCCTCCATAAATCAGCCTTCAGAAGACAAAGAATGTGACATGCGGATGGGGACAGCCACTCACAGTCTTGGCCCGGGACGTGGGGGCGGTGTGGGCGGTGCAGGTAAGGGGCAGGTCGAGAGGGTGACGGGGATAAAAGACTGTACCGTGTTCAGCATGGCACGTCAGATGGTCTCACCTCCCTCCCCCTGCACTCCGGGGGAACATTCCTGGACATATCTGGTCCGCTTTTGGGCATTAATCCCCTACAGCTGTGCCCCTGCCCGCCTCTGTCCTCAGACCAGCTGGCCCGCACACCCGCAAAGCATTTTTCACCAGCTTTGCTCCAGTGACATCAGACAAACACCACTGTACTCTATCAATTAACCGTCTGTGTCTGTTGGCGAGGTAATCAGACATGTGAACAAACATTTATGGGAGGTCTAAAGACTTTAATCAGAGTACTGTTGTAGTTCAAGGTAATAGGAATCTATTGTGGAGGGTCATGTAAAGTAATGGTCCAAGAAATGACTCAAACGTAAAAAAAAAAGAAAAAAATATTATGAGAGTATTCACTTTGGCATGTCATGTTTTAGAATGTGAAAAGCCACAGTGTCTAATATATGTAGCCACAGCTGTCCTGGGGCACCCTGACAATAGCGAGGCAACCAGTCTGTGCAATCGGCTCCTCCTCCCACCACCACCAACCACACACACACCAGACTCATTCTAGGCAATATGGGTGATGTGTCTTGCCTATGGACACAATTACAGTTTGACACATTACAGCCGCCCCACTGTCGCACCTGGTGTTCCCTGAGGTCTCTCATCACAGTACGAACCAGGCCTTGCCCTGCTTAGGTTCAGAGTTCTGCATGCAGGTGGCATCAAATATCTTAAATATTTGGTAGTAAGAAGTAAGAATGCATTGTACTCTAAGTAAATAAATAAATAATTAGGAGACGTCTGTTGTTTTAAGACGTGTTTGATGGGAGCAGCTGGTATAGGTGACTCTAATGCATTCAGCGTCAATACCAGGGTCACACCTTGTTCCAGAAAATGCTAAAACATGTTTAAAGGTAGAAAAAAAAATACTTTTAACAATACAACAAAAGTTCAAGTGCAATCCGCTACCATAAAACGTTATGTGGACACAATGGTGAAGCTTCAGTTTAGAAAATCAAATTAGTGCAAAAATAAAAGTATTTCTAATCTGTAGGGTCTTTGTGTGTAAATCACAGCCAATAAATGATAAAACATGGGAGGACCAGAACCAAAGTGTGTCAATTCCGCTAATGTTTGTGAAGTCCATGGTGCCAGCACACGCCAATGAGCACAGGCCATTTATTTCAATGGGCAGACATCTTGGAGACCTCGGGCTTGAACATAATCCAGCTAATTAGTTCCTCACACTCACAACATTATGGTTCTATCACTAGTTTTGTCACAACTTTAAATCAGCTTTTTCAGGCGGTGAAAAGGAGAAGAGCACCAATACTGAGCCCATCAGCTCTCAGCCCAAAGCATCAAAAGTAAATAACAGGGTTCTTTTCTTACAAGTATGCAAAAGATAACATGTTTTATAAGAAGACATAGACAGCCTGATGTGATATGATCTGTTTTTAATATTTTTACAATTTTGCTGGCACGAAAATGTGTCATTTATAAAGATACAAGTCAGGATTTATAGATAGATACATACGTAGATAGTTAAATAAAACCTTTTTTTGATCCCTGCAGGGAGAAACTTGGGACTCAGACTTACTGCCTTCATGGTTAGCCCGTGCGCAATAAAGGTCTTCAAGAGAGCATTATCTAAAACACTAAAAGTTACTGTTTATTTGCACACAAAAAAGTTTTCAGTCTCACTTTGTATAAACCCGGATTAGAATTGAATTAAAACGCTCATATACAAAAGCAGTCCTATTGAAACACATTTTTGTGTTTTTTTTTCTTTTCTCTTCTCATTCCTGGGTTGGGTGCAGGCTGCGACACTCTCCCACTCAGGCCCAGAGCAGCACTCACACTTCCCCGACGTGCCCCGCGGCTGTGGCCTGGAGCCTCTGCTGTGAGACTGGGTTGAAAGGCCCCAGGCTCCTGCTTCACACACAGGACCTCGGGACACCCCTCTCCAGACACCCTGGATTCCCTCCTTCCATTTTTAATACCCACACAGGAGCGAGCCGGAGCCATCAATAATGCAGCGCGTGGGAGATAGAGACATATTCAGGGCCCTCTGTGTGTGCGCGCTGTGAGATTGTCATTGAAGAAGGGAACAGTGATCCAAGCGGGTTCAGATCCTTTTAGATTTACGGCTTTATTAGCTCTCGTTGGTCGTGTAAATCAGATTTAGCTGCGATTATTGCATGAGACGTGTAAAACCAATTATCCTCATGTTAATTGTTGGGATAATAAAGTCCTGCTGGTGTTGACTGGGCTTGCGCTCGCACCACAAAGCGTGGATTAGGCAGTCGGGAACATCTGAGTTCATTACGCTGATTTAATAATGTTAGTGAATGCAAACAGAAGCACTATAATCAAAGAGGAAGAGGGTAATCTATGGGCCGTATGTTTGGATCAGAATTGTTCGCAAGCAGCAGTATTTCCCAAGGCCGTGATTCATGCCATAATGTCATAGCTTTGTATTAGCCAAAGTCTATGATGGGAAGTCTTACTAGTGGTGGGGGAAAAATGTATTCTGCTCACTATCGCAATTTACATCTGAGATTTTCGTTACTCTATTATGTCTGCTTTTTGTGACTCTAGTCTATTGTATTTGAATGACTTAATTGATCTTCTTGGAGCTCACCATTCATGTGAGAGGTCACCTTTTCAGAGAATAATAAAGTCTTGTCCTGTGTCCTGAATGTTCAAGGATAACGTTTTTTGCACTACAATCCTTAGTATTTGCACTTCAGTTAATGTGCAGATCAAACACAAACACACAATAGCACAGTTGTGGGTATGTAGAACCCCAGTGGTATAGTTGGGTATTGCAGTAGGTACTCAAAATGATTTCCAATTATCAATATTAACATACAAATATTGAGGCGTATTATTGCTAACTAATCTTTCTCACTTTTGTACCAGTTTTGGTTCAGTCCAAACATGTGCACATTTTGTTCAGAATCACTAAAACTCAGGTTAGATAAAATTAATGAGTTGGACTAAATACCTACATACTGTAATGGAATAAAGAAATGAAAAAAACAAAAGCAAAAGAGGAGCTGGAAACCAAACTTCCCATAAAGAAAATGATGAGGGCTTGGTAGAACAGTCAAAAAGAAAAAGAAGTTGCCTCGAATAATGTGGGCCTAACAATGTATTTATTTTTTGTCCCTGGCCCGGTCTTCACTGGAGAAGGGGCGTGTAGGGCCAAAAAGGTTGGGGACCTCTTGTCTAAGTAAGTAAGCAACCTGTATTACCCCTCACAGAGATTGACTCACAAGGCGCTTCACAAGTTGAAATGAGACACACAGGAGAAACACATTAAAACCCATACACATACATATAATACAATAAAACAAAACATTCCAGTGCAAACAGACTGCACGCCACAATAAGCCTAAAACAGTCAACAAGTGCTGATTGGCCGACCTGAGACCGCCACACATGTTCATGCAGGAGGTCAGACAGTTAGCCTGGAGTCAAAAAAGCACAATTTCAATGTGAAGTTTGCAATTTTCAAAGATGATAAACCTACATACATCCATGATACAGTATGTAACCTCAATACAGCTTATATGATAAACTTGATGATAAAAAGAAGACTTAGTACCAAAGTTAAAACATGACAAAGTATTTGTTGGTCTACGGAGAGTACATATTCAGAATGTTTTTTGAATCGTTACTTTTTTTAAGGAGGTAATCCGAATACAGTTGCTTTCCGATATTACGAAATTAAGGTAAGATAACTGATTCTGGGGTAGCAGATGTATTTTTTTCCATAAGTTGTTTGTCCCAACAGAAATAACCAAGAAATCAGACCACGACATCAAAAATCACCTCACAAAACCTCATCCAAATCACATCACTCAGTTGGGTCTCAACAAATATCATTAATAGTGATATTCTTGAAAATTGTGCGTTTGTCTCACAGCAAAAGGGTTACAAGTTTGACTTTACAATATATTTGTGTGCAGCCCTAAATAATAACAGCAGGTGTTTCAGAGGACTTTCAACAACAACAGATCAGAGAATCAAAGAGTACAAACGCAGGCAACGCAATTATAACACACTTTTTTCCCCCTGCAATAGACTTGTATAGAGAATAAGCCAAACTTGAATGGTCCACTGTCTACATGCCCGACCTCACAAACCGGTTCATGTCGGGATTAAAGGCATCAGTGGGTCCAACGTGACCGGACCACAGCTTGGAATGTGCTTTCGGAAGTCTTGCCCCTAAGACTCTGACAGACAGGAGCGCAGTTAATAAGCCATGTCTCTGGAGGGGCGCGCTGTCATGTGTGAGTGAGCGAGTGAGCCATTGGACTAAATTAAAACATGCTTTAATAAAGTGACCAGAGCTGGACCCACAGGCCACCTCTCTCTCTCTCTCTCTCACACACACACACACACATGCACTGATATACACATGCATACATAGAGCGCACTGGGGGGACAAGGCCGCGCGGTATCCCGGTTAGTGGAATGTGGATGGACGGGGCGACATTGGAAAGAGGAGAGGAGGGGAGGAGAGGAGAGGTCAGGAACAGTGTGCTGTGATAGTGTTTCAAGTCTCTCCGTTCAGGCCAGGTGTCTTCAGACCAAATAAACCACCGCTGTACCCCCCTCGGGCTTCTGAGAGCCGCGGATCACAGTCACACCTTGTTCGTGCCGAGGTAGAGAGCAAAGAAAACACGCAGCAGTGCTTTGGGTGAGTCTGATGTTTCACCTGTTAAGTCAAGCCCCAAATGTACCTATGGCAATCTGTCTGTTCGATCGTTTAAAGCTGCAGTACAGCCATTTCTTTATTGTCTTTAATACTTTATTGTGTCTTCACATGGAAAAACAGCTTTTAAGATTTGTTAAAAAGTTGTATTCCTCTTCTACAATATTCCACATGTTTTGTTACCGCCAGTAAATCTGAAAGAATTTGATCAAGAAGGGTGGTGAACATAATTTGTATGGGACTAAAATAGTCTTATACTTGGTAAAGGGCAATTGGTTAGCACACCAT